TAATATATAATATATTATATATTATATATTATATATTATATGTTATATAATTATATAATATATTATAATACTTTATATATAATAATATAATATAAATATAATATAATATATAATAATGTATATTTATAATATATATATTATAAATATAATATAATATAGTATTATAAATATAATAGCATAGTATAACATAATATATAATATAATATATATATTATATGTAATATTATATATTATATAGTATAATATAATATAATATCATAATATAATATTATATAATATAATAATATATTTATAATATATATAATAAATATAATATCATATAATAATTATTGTATAATTATTATGTAATTATATTATATTAAATATAATTAATTATATATTATATATTATATATTATATATTATATAAATAAAGAATATAAATATATATATAACATAAATAAATAATATAAATAAAAATAAAATCAACCAGGAATCCACAGGGCTCTGCTGAGCCTGCTCCTCATTGCTGGAGCCTTGATGAAGCCACGTGAAGAAGTTTGGCAAGGAAAGAGCCCTGCCAGTGTCTCACCTTTCCCATCCCCTTTTCCCAGATTTCTGCTCCCCGTTCTCATCCCGGGGATCCCACAGGAACCTTCCTGCTTTAATGAGGGATTGGGTGGGAGGATTTATTCTGGATTTGCAGAGGAAAGCTCCTGTGTGGGGCTGAGCTGGGGCACTGCTGCATCCCTGGGTTTGGAGGGAGCTGAGGAGAGTTTGGAGCCCAGGCTTTTGGGGATTCCTGCAGTGAATCCCTGTGGGAGGAGATGCCCAGCCCTGGGAGAGGTGTCTGGAGGGATTCCCAGCGGAGTGAGGGCACGGAGCTGGATTCGTTTCCCTTGATTGGTTTTTTTGTCCCACTGCTGCAGCCCGGGGAAGGTTTTGGGCTCCCCCAGTGCTGCTTTGGCTGATTCAGCTTAGCTGGGTTCACTTTCTGCTCCCACCCCCCTGTGTTTTCCCACTGCTGCTGGATTTGTGGCATTGGTGCCCCTTTGGAGCACAAAGGCTGTGAAAAACCCCAAATCCCCAGCAGGAGCAGGGGGTCCCTGGCTCAGTGGGGCTGGAGCGAGGGGAAGGGTGGAAAATCCTTTATTGATTTGGCTTTATTGATCCAGGGGCTTTTCCTCTTTCATTCCTGTCACCAGGGTCCTCCTCCCTGCCTGGGCCATCCCAGAGCTTCGGGATCTGTGTGAATTTGCCATTAAATGGGGTTGTTGGCAGAGCTGCTCCAGTTTTGTCTCTGGTGGGAGCTCTGGGAGCTCTGACACCGCCCTGAGCTCGCTGTTCCCGGCAATCCCGCACCCCTAAATCCCACCCGAGCTCAGGGATGGGCTGGGGGGAAGCTGAAGGCTCCTGGTGGGTCCCTTGCAGCTTGGAATGTTCTGTCAATCCATGACAACGACTCCCAGCACCTGGGTTTAGGGATTAAAGCTGGAATAAATGGCTTTTCCTTCACCTTGGGCTGGCTCAGAGCTGTGGCATCACCTCCCCTGGATCCTGTGCCTTGGGTGCTGCCAGGATCTGGAGGCTGAGCTCTGTCAGGGCTCTGTTTGCCGTGGGGAAAATGATATCTTAACATGAGCTGACAACATAATTCTCCAGAGCCTTTCCCTGTTGCCTGTGTTTCCACGTTGGGGTGTGTGGTTGTTTTTTAAAGGAGGTGGCATTTGAAATATGAGGTTTGACAGCCGTGCTTAAGCCTGACATGACAAGCCTCGTTCCTCTTACTCACAGCGAGCTCAGATTTACACAGCCCCCCAGGGACTGGTGTCTGCAGCACAGGCAGCTCCTTCCTCCCCTCCTGAGCACGGGCTGGGGATGGCAGAGGCTGCTCCGAGCCCTCGTGCTGGGCAGCAGCTCCTCCTCTGTGCCTTTGGCTGGGAGAGAGGAGGTTTGGCTTGGAAATTGGGAAGGAATTGTTCTCTGGAAGTGTCCCAGGTTGGATGGGATAGAGGAAGGTGTCCCTGCCCATGGTGGCACTGGATGAGCTTTAAGGTCTTTTCCAGCCCAAGCCATTCTGGGATTCTAAATGAATTCCCTGCAAGGGGAACTTCCTGAGAGTTGTGGGCACCTTTCCCACAGCATCCCCCTGCAGGAGCCCAGATCCTCACCTGGCATCGCTTCGCTCCTTCCCACTGGGTCCTGCTCCTGCATCCTTTGGAATTTCAGCTTCCCTTGTGTCCCCTGGGGTCTCACCACTCCCCTTCTGTCCCCAGGTCATGCTGGCAGCGTCCTACTGGTCCCTGCTGGCCCCAGCCATCGAGCTGGCCGAGGAGTCCGGCACCTTCGGAGCCTTCTCCTTCTTCCCGGTGGCTGCGGGCTTTGCCCTGGGAGCAGCGTTCGTGTACGGGGCTGACCTGCTCATGCCAGTGCTGGTGAGTGGGAATTCCAGCCTGGGAGCTCATGCCAGTGCTGGTGAGTGGGAATTCCAGCCTGGGAGCTCATCCCAGTGCTGCTGAGTGGGAATTCCAGCCTGGGAGCTCATCCCAGTGCTGCTGAGTGGGAATTCCACGTGGAGCTCGGGGAGGGGATTTTACCCCAAAATAGTGCAGCTGCTGTGTTTTCCTCCTGGAAAAGGAGCTGTCCCTGTGCTGGGGTTCATTTCCATGTGGATAACCACCCTGCCAGGGCCTGTTTGATCCAAACCCTGCTTTTCCTCCCCCTGGAGACCTTGGGAAGGGTCAGGAGAGCTGGCAGAGGGTGGTGGGGCCGTGCTCAGGAGCAGGAACAGCTCCTGGAGCTGGGCAGTGCCTTCAGGATGGGATTTTTTGGGAAGAGAGCAGAGGTCACGGGGGATGCTGTGAGGGGAACACGGGCAGAGGTTGAAGCTGAATGTGCCAAAGTGAAAAACAAAGTTTGGAGAGGCTTGAGCCATGCCTGGGCTGGGAATGTGGCTCTGGAGCCCTCTCCCTTCCTCGGGAGCCCAGAGCGAGGTTTTGGGAATCCCTCCCATCCCGGCTTGTGGACGCTCCTGGAGCAGCAGGAGGGAGCCTTGGAGCTGCTCAGGGATCATTCCCAGCCTGGCACAGCTCCAGGCTGGATAACAGAGACCTCTAAAAGCTTTTATGGACTCCTCATCCTGCTCCAGCAGCAGCGGGAAGGGTTTTCCAGCTGGAGCATCCCGGGGTTTGCTGGTGGCAGAGGGAGGGTTAATGATGCCGAGCAGCTGGAGCATTACATTCCTCACCAAAGGCAGATCTCATCTCTGACATCTTCATCTTGGCCTTTTCCCCGTGTTTGTTCATCCTCCAGCTGAGGAGGAGATCCTGGAGGGCAGAACCAGATCCCAGGGTTTGTTTTGCCGAATCTCCTGGCACGGAGCCTCCTGTTCAACCTGATTTTTTTCCTTAAATTAATTTTTTTTTTCCTTTTTTCCTTTCAGCTGGTGTTTGAGGAGGGTTTGGGTGCAGCTGATGGGGCTGTGTGAGCCTTTCCTAAAAAGAGTCGTGGCTCGGTGCCTTCACTGCCAAACCCAAATCCTCCGAGGGAAAGTTTACTTAAAAATTCAGAGCAGCAGGTCCCTGATGGCTCAGGAGCTATTTTGGGTCTACTGAAAGGCATAAGAACGCTGGAATTAAGTGTTATTATTCCCATCCCTCAAATCTGTCGTGCAGCTCTGCTGACTTGGCCGGGTTTTGTTGGTTTTCTGGTGTTTTGGTGTTTTCCTGCTCTGGTCTCCCCCTTCCCAGAGCAGTGTCCCAGAGGATTCCTCCAGGCCTTTGGATTCCTCCAGGCCTTTCAGGCAGTCCCTGGCTGCTTTTGCTCCTGGATTTTTGTGTGCAGGGGGAAAGTGGAAGCGTTGGGAGCGTGGTGGAGTCCCCATCCCTGCGTTGTGTGCGTGTGGCACTCGGGGACACGGGGGCCTGGTGGCACTCGGTGCTCTCAGGGGCCTTTCCCACCCTCAGTTCCCTGGGAGCTGCCCTTGTCTCAGAGCTGCCGAATTCCCAGGAGCTGTCCGGGTGTTCCTGTGGAATTCTGAGGGTTTGGGGGGTGCTTTGGCTGCTTCCAGGAGCTCCCTGGCTCCTGCTTTTTGCTTTGAGGCAGGAATTCCCTGCTGGGACTGGGGCAGGAGCAGGGACAGGGAAGAATCCTGGTGGGAGCTGCCCCAGCCCCACCTCAGCTCCTGCTCTTCCCACTCCTCTGCCTGACTGTGCTGCCATCGTTACTGAATAGGATAATGAGGCTTAATGAGCCTCATCCCCTCTCCCTCCAGGCTGGATTCTCCTCAGGAATCTCTGTCTGTGCAGGGAGGAGCTCCATCCATCCATCATCCATCATCCATCCATCCATCCCTCCATCCATCCATCATCCATCCATCATCCATCCATCATCCATCATCCATCCATCATCCATCATCCATCCATCATCCATCCATCCATCATCCATCCATCATCCATCCATCATCCATCATCCATCATCCATCCATCATCCATCCATCATCCATCATCCATCCATCATCCATCCATCCATCCATCCATCATCCCTCCCCTCTGGGATCCCGTGTTTGCTGGGGTCCGTGGGCTCTCCCCTGGGAGCAGGGAGAGGCTGCAGGAGCAGCAGGAGTTAGTGAATAATCCATGGAAAGAGCTGCTGGGCCATCACTCAGCTCTCAGCAGGAGCCTGCCAATACTTGGGGTGTAAAAGATGATGGGGGAGGGAGCGTGTGGAGCCAGGGCTGCAATTCCAGCCTGGAAATACCATCTCCATTGGATTTGATATTTTTTTTCCTTGTCTGCTGGGTACAGCTTTGGTGGTTTTTTTTGCTCCTGAGTGCAGAGGAAATCAATAAAGCCTCGTGTGATGGGCAGAGCATTCCTTGGATTTAAACAAACAGTGGCTAAAGTGCCTTTTAAAAGCCTTTGGTGGGGTTGGTGTTTATTCCTCTCCCCAAAGAACCAGCACAGCCAAAATCCCTCTTTGGGATGTGTCTCCCACCTGTCCTGGGAATAATTTGGGCTCTGAGCTTTCCTCGAGCAGGGTGAGGATCTGCAGCTCCTCAGGACGCTCCTGGTGGGAGCTGCATCCCCTTCACCCCTCCAAACAGAATCCCTCGGTGCTCCTGCCCTTTTCTGGCTGTGCAGGTCACGGCTGGAGGGCTCTTTGGAGATGTGGTTTGGGACTGGATGCTTTGCACGGTGAATTTTGGGCTATTTTGGGCAAGAGCTCTTGGGAGGGCTTTGAGAGCTCGATAAACAGCCCCGAGGATCCTCTCCTGTCCGGTGATGAATGTGCCTTCAGGATGAATATTTTGCATTCTAAATCCATGCAAGTCCCTTTTTGGGAGGGAAAGCTGGGAATTGTGCATGGCTGAGGCTGCAGGAGGAGGAGGAGGAGGAGGAGGAAGGACCATCAAGGTGTAGCTGCACACTGTTTAAAATAGCAATTTTTTCCCTCAGGGCTAAGCTGGATTGGACCATGGGGAGCATCTTTTGTTTTTGGGGGAGAGGGAGCACTAGG